ATGTGAGAGAGTGAGTTGTGGAGAAGCATGATGTGAGAGAGTGGGTTGTGGAGAAGCATGATGTGAGAGAGTGAGTTGTGGAGAAACATGATGTTAGAGAGTGGGTTGTGGAGAAGCATGATGTGAGAGAGTGGTTTGTGGAGAAGCATGATGTGAGAGAGTGGGTTGTGGAGAAGCATGATGTTAGAGAGTGGGTTGTGGAGAAACATGATGTGAGAGAGTGAGTTGTGGAGAAACATGATGTGAGAGAGTGAGTTGTGGAGAAACATGATGTGAGAGAGTGAGTTGTGGAGAAACATGATGTGAGAGAGTGGATTGTGGAGAAGCATGATGTGAGAGAGTGGGCTGTGGAGAAACATGATGTGAGAGAGTGGGTTGTGGAGAAACATGATGTGAGAGAGTGAGTTGTGAAGAAGCATGATGTTAGAGAGTGGGTTGTGGAGAAACATGATGTGAGAGAGTGAGTTGTGGAGAAGCATGATGTGAGAGAGTGAGTTGTGGAGAAGCATGATGTGAGAGAGTGGGTTGTGGAGAAGCATGATGTGAGAGAGTGGGTTGTGGAGAAGCATGATGTGAGAGAGTGGTTTGTGGAGAAGCATGATGTGAGAGAGTGGGTTGTGGAGAAGCATGATGTGAGAGAGTAAGTTGTGGAGAAGCATGATGTGAGAGAGTGAGTTGTGGAGAAGCATGATGTGAGAGAGTGGGTTGTGGAGAAGCATGATGTGAGAGAGTGAGTTGTGGAGAAGCATGATGTGAGAGAGTGGGTTGTGGAGAAGCATGATGTGAGAGAGTGAGTTGTGGAGAAGCATGATGTGAGAGAGTGGTTTGTGGAGAAGCATGATGTGAGAGAGTGGGTTGTGGAGAAGCATGATGTGAGAGAGTGGGTTGTGGAGAAGCATGATGTGAGAGAGTGGTTTGTGGAGAAGCATGATGTGAGAGAGTGGGTTGTGGAGAAGCATGATGTGAGAGAGTGGGTTGTGGAGAAGCATGATGTGAGAGAGTGAGTTGTGGAGAAGCATGATGTGAGAGAGTGGTTTGTGGAGAAGCATGATGTGAGAGAGTGGGTTGTGGAGAAGCATGATGTGAGAGAGTGGTTTGTGGAGAAGCATGATGTGAGAGAGTGGGTTGTGGAGAAGCATGATGTGAGAAAGTGGGTTGTTCTATCGTCTGTTGCTACCTCGTTCCAAGTATTTTACACGTGGTCCGGTCGTTTAGTGTCAAATGTTCTGTCGTCTGTTGCTACCTATTGCCAAGTATTTTACAACCCAAATTTCTTTTTTTTTTTTTTTTAATGTTGATACGTTAGCATGGTAATAAATAATTAAAGGTCTCTTAAATTTGAGTTTCAATTGATTGATTATGTGATTTATTTCAACGGTTAAATGACAGTTATTGTCGATCGAGTAACAAGAATCAGCTCTTGTACATCGGGAACACAGCCATGAATACTCTGTCAACTTCAGGTCATGAAACAGTCAGTATTCCCGTACTGTACCATGACCTGCAGTAGAGAGTACAGGAAACTGACTGTACCATGACCTGCAGTAGATAGTACAGGAATACTGACTGTACCATGACCTGCAGTAGATAGTACAGGAATACTGACTGTACCATGACCTGCAGTAGATAGTACAGGAATACTGACTGTATCATGGCCTGCAGTAGATAGTACAGGAATACTGACTGCTGTGTACATCGTCATCATGTAGCAGGTCCTTTGCAGAACGTCGCTCTCATCACGTTCTGCCTGAAAGAAACTCGGTCTCTCGCCAATTCTCACGCCTCATGTACTTTCATACTCAAGGAGTCACTTATATCCTGTACCCATCTTCGTGTTGGTCGGCCTCTGTCCCTCTTTCCTGGTACCATGCCTTCTGCTATATTTTTTTCCAATCCGTCGTGGCGCTTGATTTGACCAAAATATTTCAGCTTCCGAGAAAGGATGCTGTTTATTAGCCAATCTTCCTTGACGTTCAGATCTTTTAAGATGTCAATATTTTTCCTCTTCTTTGTCCAAGATATTCTATAGCATTTCAGCTTACAAGCCCCTATTCTCTTTCTTGAGTAAGTAAAAGATCCCTTATTACGCCTAAGGCGCATCGGGCATATGGGAAGAGCGTCCCATATTTTGACAGACCAGTCAGCACTGGGTGGGTAATGTGGTCAGCATTACACCGGCCGTCTTTACTTTCCCAGGACAGCCATCCTGGTACCCATTTTAGGCTGGGTCGACCTGCGACGCCCTATACCATGATAAAAATCGACGCAGCCAGCAGTGGGTTTCGATCGCGGTACATTGGATTACGAGTCGGACTCGCAACGCCTTAGCCACGGACTCCGTTTCTTTCTTAAGGACTGAGAGATAGTCCACGACTCACATCCGTATGTAGCCACAGGAAAGATGCATGCTTTCAAAATTCTAATTTTTATCTCCTTGCTGGTGCTTAACCATAGACTTTTAAGGCTGTTCAAACTTTGCATTGCTATGGCCATCCTCCTTTAATTTCTGTTGAACAGTCTCCATTGATGTTTATTATAGAGCCTAGATATTGAAAGTTTGTGGCATCTTCAATTACTTCATAATTTATTGTTATTCCTGGGTGACAGCCAGTTTTATCTGTGGACATTATTTTCATTTTCTTTAAATTCAAGAACAGATTTTGATCTTCACTGTGCTTTTGGACGGACAATATTAAATTTTCTATTCCCTGTTCGAAAGGAGGACTGTGTCATCTGCATAGCGGAGTTCCGGAATAGGGTTGCCACCAATTTTGAGCCGATCATAACTGTCACACGTCTGGTCATTTTGGACATTTCTCATTATATTTTCTGAGTATATATTGAATAGGTATGGTGAGAGAACGCACCCCTGCCTCATCCCCTTTTGTACCTCGAACCAGTCAGATGTTTCACCAGCTGCTCTGATGGCTGCTTGTTGTTCGTGATAAAGATGTTCAATTCAATGCACTAAATGCGCTGGAAACGCCATACTTTACATAACAGTCCACAGTTTCTGGTGTTGGACACAATCAAATGCGTTGCTATAAACAATACAACAAGCATGAAGATCTACATTGTATTCTCTGCATTTTCAAAAATAATTCATATATTAAAGTCCCTCTACCTTTGTGTACATATTCCCACTAAATATATTGTACATATTTTAAGCAGATATATTGTACAGATTTTAGGTAAATCTATTGTACAGATTCTCATTCATTCTATTATACAGATTTTCAGTAAAATAATTGTACAGATTTTGTGTAAATCTGTCAGTCTGATGGCGAGATTACTTGTTCAATTATTGCAAACACTGCTGATACAACTCAGTCTTCATCGAAGAGTCGTAATGCAGTGGATACCGTCTCATTGTGGAGTGCATGGAAATGAGAAAGCTGATCAACTGGCAGGGGAAGGTGCGACAAAAGTGCAGCTGGATGTACCAGTCACATACCCCCAAAAGAAAAGAATAATTAAATCGATCAGGAAACCACCAGCCCCGGCACAAGACGACTATTTTATTATGGACAGACCGGAACAAGTCATTATCCTCCGCCTCAAAACAGGGCACAACCGATTATGTAACCACATGTACATAAAATTCAAGATAGGTGTATCAGCCATGTGCACCTGTGGAAAGGTGCCCCAGACAGCAGTGCATGTACTCCAGAACTGCATCTAACTTGACACATTGAGGCTAAACCTTTTGGCCAGAAATAACAACAGTGGAACGTAAACTCTATGGACCACTGAATAAACTAACAGCGACAGTGAAGTTTATACAAGCGACAAAACTGCTGATATAGACAACTTATTTCAGGCCAACAAAAGAAAGGAGAAGAAGAACTTGTCCAACTTTGCTAAAATTAAAATGTCACTGAGTATATCTGTCTAATTGAGTGTATGTCTGTCTGTCGGAGCGACAGTACGTCTACCCGTTTCTGAATTTAGGTTAGTCTATCCGCCATGCGCACGTCTGTTCGTCCGTCTACTGATTTGTTTACGTGTTTAACTGTCCATACTCTTGCCACTATATCCTTGTGTCTATATATGTCTTCTGTTTGTTTTTAGTCATTTCTTCTGTCTGTCTATTCGTTATGTTTTCCTGTTGCATTGATATGTTACACACTGTTCTATCTGCCAATCTGTTGGTCAGTCTGTATGAATTTTAGTCTGTCTACTTGCTCGCCTACTTATCCTGTTTCGTTTTGTGCGGTCTATTTATTCCTTTGCCTTTTTACTTTTACCTTCCCCCGGTTGTCTATCAATTTTTTCTTCTTGTTTTTCTCTCTCATCTGGGGTAGGTGGGGGAGGGGTAGGATGGAAATGAATGGGAGAATTGGGGGGGGGGGGTGCGTTGACAGGGTCTGTCTTTCGTTCTCGTTTTTACTTTCATAAGTTCTTCCTACTTACATTTGTATGGCCTTTGATCCTTTGTTCACAGTGAAAGTGTCAACTTGTAGCTTCTGTTGTGGCAGCCATATCCTGTGTTACCTAATCTATCGTCACCAACTGTTCTCACATGCCACCGCTGCCATTCGCTGGCAGACGATGTCACTTGAATAGCCGCCCATCCCAGCTGGAAGCCGCGGCCGGTGATCAGCTGGGACATCACAGGGCAGGCCGGCTGCCACGTCTCATGGCGGCTGGGACATCACAGTAAAGGGCGGCTGCCACAACATCTGGATACAATAGAGCCACTGATTGCTGTATCGTCAACTGGACCGTGTCCACATTCGGGGACCGATTGTTGACTTAGAGAATCAACATGGGTGGCAGTATTGTTTCATCTATTCGCCCGTGTGACATCACGCAGGTAAGACAGGATTGGCAGCAACCGCTTCCATGAGCCACCTGGAAGGTTTCCTAAGCGGAAGTTGCAACTTCAGCTAGATCGTTCAGTTTTCATATAGCCAGTGTCTTGAACACACGCCTCCTTCTAAACCACTGCGGAATATTTTGCGATTCGTCGTTGTGATTAACAATAATATTATCTCACCATGACTCACTCTATAATCCAGGATCCTAAAGTGGTCATCTACGAGAAGGATTTCTTCACCAAGTGTCATCTGCGCCCAGAAACCGTACTGGACAAAGGGTTGTGTGGGCAGATCGTGCTGGCCTCTCTCCTGGAGCGACCCGACACTAAATTTATCGTCAAGAAGTTTTGCTTAAAGAACAAGGAGAAGAAAGCCAGACACAAGAGTGTCTTCAAGAGGGAGGTGAAGTTCATGCAGTCTCTGGCACACGACTACCTTACCACCTGTATCGCCGCTGCCAGATGTCCGGGATATTTGGCCATATTTATGAAGTACTACGGGAGAGGCACACTGGACCTGTATGTGGGAGAGATCGGACTTGATCTAGCCGAACAGTGTGTGCTCCAGGTGGCGTGTGCACTGAGATATATGCACAAGAACAAGCTGGTGCACTTGGACGTCAAGTTGGACAACATTTTTCTGGATGAACAACATGACGCGGTGCTCGGGGATTTTGGTATGGCCGCAGAGCTGAAACCTGGACAGCAGGCCCTGGCCAAAAGAAATATAGGTGGTACAAGTGGATATTTCGCTCCGGAATGGATCGCCGCCACTAAAGACGTGGAGCTAGACCCATATAAGGTAAGTGTGACATTATAATTTATCAGTACCATGTATATTGTTTGTTATCTCCACGTGTCTTCTTGTTTATCTCTAGGTGTGTTCTCGTTTGTTATCTCTAGGTGTGTTCTTGTTTGTTATCTCTAGTTGTGTTCTTGTTTGTTATCTCTAGGTGTGTTCTTGTTTGTTATCTCTAGTTGTGTTCTTGTTTGTTATCTCTAGGTGTGTTCTTGTTTGTTATCTCTAGGTGTGTTCTTGTTTGTTATCTCTAGGTGTGTTCTTGTTTGTTATCTCTAGGTGTGTTTTTGTTTGTTATCTCTAGTTGTGTTCTTGTTTGTTATCTCTAGGTGTGTTCTTGTTTGTTATCTCTAGGTGTGTTCTTGTTTGTTATCTCTAGGTGTGTTTTTGTTTGTTATCTCTAGGTGTGTTCTTGTTTGTTATCTCTAGGTGTGTTCTTGTTTGTTATCTCCACGTGTCTTCTTGTTTGTTATCTCTAGGTGTGTTCTCGTTTGTTATCTCTAGGTGTGTTCTTGTTTGTTATCTCTAGGTGTGTTCTTGTTTGTTATCTCTAGGTGTGTTCTCGTTTGTTATCTCTAGGTGTGTTTTTCTTTGTTATCTCTAGTTGTGTTCTTGTTTGTTATCTCTGGGTGTGTTCTCGTTTGTTATCTCTAGGTGTGTTTTTCTTTGTTATCTCTAGTTGTGTTCTTGTTTGTTATCTCTAGGTGTGTTCTTGTTTGTTATCTCTAGGTGTGTTTTTGTTTGTTATCTCTAGGTGTGTTCTTGTTTGTTATCTCTAGGTGTGTTCTTGTTTGTTATCTCTAGGTGTGTTCTTGTTTGTTATCTCTAGGTGTGTTTTTGTTTGTTATCTCTAGGTGTGTTTTTGTTTGTTATCTCTAGGTGTGTTCTTGTTTGTTATCTCTAGGTGTGTTCTTGTTTGTTATCTCCACGTGTCTTCTTGTTTGTTATCTCTAGGTGTGTTCTCGTTTGTTATCTCTAGTTGTGTTCTTGTTTGTTATCTCTAGGTGTGTTCTTGTTTGTTATCTCTAGGTGTGTTCTCGTTTGTTATCTCTAGGTGTGTTTTTCTTTGTTATCTCTAGTTGTGTTCTTGTTTGTTATCTCTGGGTGTGTTTTTGTTTGTTATCTCTAGGTGTGTTTTTGTTTGTTATCTCTAGGTGTGTTCTTGTTTGTTATCTCTAGGTGTGTTTTTGTTTGTTATCTCTAGGTGTGTTTTTGTTTGTTATCTCTAGTTGTGTTTTTGTTTGTTATCTCTAGGTGTGTTTTTGTTTGTTATCTCTAGGTGTGTTTTTGTTTGTTATCTCTATGTGTGTTCTTGTTTGTTATCTCTAGGTGTGTTTTTGTTTGTTATCTCTAGGTGTGTTTTTGTTTGTTATCTCTATGTGTGTTCTTGTTTGTTATCTCTAGGTGTGTTTTTGTTTGTTATCTCTAGGTGTGTTCTTGTTTGTTATCTCTAGGTGTGTTTTTGTTTGTTATCTCTAGGTGTGTTTTTGTTTGTTATCTCTAGGTGTGTTTTTGTTTGTTATCTCTAGGTGTGTTCTTGTTTGTTATCTCTAGGTGTGTTCTTGTTTGTTATCTCCACGTGTCTTCTTGTTTGTTATCTCTAGGTGTGTTCTCGTTTGTTATCTCTAGTTGTGTTCTTGTTTGTTATCTCTAGGTGTGTTCTTGTTTGTTATCTCTAGGTGTGTTCTCGTTTGTTATCTCTAGGTGTGTTTTTCTTTGTTATCTCTAGTTGTGTTCTTGTTTGTTATCTCTGGGTGTGTTCTTGTTTGTTATCTCTAGGTGTGTTTTTGTTTGTTATCTCTAGGTGTGTTCTTGTTTGTTATCTCTAGGTGTGTTTTTGTTTGTTATCTCTAGGTGTGTTTTTGTTTGTTATCTCTAGGTGTGTTTTTGTTTGTTATCTCTAGGTGTGTTCTTGTTTGTTATCTCTAGGTGTGTTTTTGTTTGTTATCTCTAGGTGTGTTTTTGTTTGTTATCTCTAGTTGTGTTTTTGTTTGTTATCTCTAGGTGTGTTTTTGTTTGTTATCTCTAGGTGTGTTTTTGTTTGTTATCTCTAGTTGTGTTTTTGTTTGTTATCTCTAGGTGTGTTTTTGTTTGTTATCTCTAGTTGTGTTTTTGTTTGTTATCTCCACGTGTCTTCTTGTTTGTTATCTCTAGGTGTGTTCTCGTTTGTTATCTCTAGGTGTGTTTTTGTTTGTTATCTCCACGTGTCTTCTTGTTTGTTATCTCTAGGTGTGTTTTTGTTTGTTATCTCCACGTGTCTTCTTGTTTGTTATCTCTAGGTGTGTTCTCGTTTGTTATCTCTAGGTGTGTTTTTGTTTGTTATCTCTAGGTGTGTTCTTGTTTGTTATCTCTAGGTGTGTTTTTGTTTGTTATCTCTAGGTGTGTTTTTGTTTGTTATCTCTAGGTGTGTTTTTCTTTGTTATCTCTAGGTGTGTTTTTGTTTGTTATCTCTAGGTGTGTTCTTGTTTGTTATCTCTAGGTGTGTTTTTGTTTGTTATCTCTAGGTGTGTTTTTGTTTGTTATCTCTAGGTGTGTTTTTGTTTGTTATCTCTAGGTGTGTTTTTGTTTGTTATCTCTAGGTGTGTTCTTGTTTGTTATCTCTAGGTGTGTTCTTGTTTGTTATCTCTAGGTGTGTTTTTGTTTGTTATCTCCACGTTTCTTCTTGTTTGTTATCTCTAGGTGTGTTCTTGTTTGTTATCTCTAGGTGTGTTCTTGTTTGTTATCTCTAGGTGTGTTTTTGTTTGTTATCTCTAGGTGTGTTTTTGTTTGTTATCTCTAGGTGTGTTCTTGTTTGTTATCTCTAGGTGTGTTCTAGTTTGTTATCTCCATGTGTGTTCTTGTTTGTTATCTCCATGTGTGTTTTTCTTTGTTATCTCCATGAGTATTCTTGTTTGTTATCTCCATGTGTGCTCTGCTTCGTTATCTCCATGAGTGTTCTCGTTTGTTATCTCCATGTGTGTTCTTGTTTGTTATCTCCATGTGTGTTCTTGTTTGTTATCTCCATGAGTATTCTTGTTTGTTATCTCCATGTGCGTTCTTCTTTGTTATCTCCTTGTGTATTCTTGTTTTTCTCTCCACGTGTGTTCTTGTTTTTCTCTCCACGTGTGTTCTTCACGTAGATATAGTTCACACTGTGCTTAACTCCGCTGTTTTCTCTTCTAATCGGAATCGATTTTTAGACGGTTCCTTGTCTGTATAGATTTGCTCACCCAGCGTGTTTTTAATGTCCCGTGTTTACATGTGGGTGGTCTACCTCTGCGCCTTCTTCGATAAAGTTCACATCATAACTTGTTCTTTTCCTTTTCATCTAATGTGAGATTCGCAATGGAGGAAGTATGTCAGTTACTGAGACATAATGATGTTTATGACCCAGTTGACTTCTATGTTGAGTCCTTGTAGAATATTGTCTATTCGACTTTGGTGGCGTGTCTATAGATGAAACTATGCGGCACCTTCCCCGTATTTATGTATCCCTGCGACTTTGGACTTCGTTAACTGCTAGATTTAGTTTATCATCTAGTTTGTTATACTCTTAACGAACGAACGAACTTTATTTTCAAAGGGTCACAAATTGGACACGCAAGCCCGTCTTATATTCTGCCCTTCCAAACACCTGTCTTTCACACTGCAGCTGTATTTTGTCAATAAGCATGTTATATTCATTTGATAATACGCATATAATGAATATCAAAATAGAGAAAAACAAAAAGACAAAGCACAAAAGCATGGGTGGTAAAATGCTTGCACACACACCACCCACTCACTTAAACACACCCCATTCACCCACATACATACCTACATACCCACACTGACACGCACATTCCACACACATATAAACATACAGATATATACACACAGACACACCCATAGAAACAAATGCAAACACACACACACAAACAGACATACGCGCACATACCCAATCACACACGCAGATATACACACACGCAGACACACACATGCGACAGCACAACAGTGATGTTCCACTTATCTCGATGAAGACCCCACTGCCATGTTTGTTTGCCTCGATCGGTCTGTTTCACGGTTTCTACTGTTTTATTACTTTCGTTAAAAAAAAAAAAAAAAACAGCCAATACTTATTCTTCACAAAGGACTTTAAAAAAAACAACATCTAAATCCGTACGACTTTGTCTGGGTTTAATTCATCTCCTTCGCGTTTCATGAATTCTTACTAGAGTGCTCCAGTATTCATTGAAAGGTCAGAGAATGAACATCTCTCAAAGACGCTCGAATGTTTCGACTCTGGCGACCTTCTTGGTAGCGCTGGCGTCAAAAGCCTGGAGCCCTGACATCAGAGGCCTGGAGCCCTGACATCAGAGGCCTGGAGCCCTAACATAAGAGGCCTGGAGCCCTGACATTAGAGGCCTGGAGCCCTGACATCAGAGGCCTAGAGACCTGACATCAAAGACCTGGAGTCCTGACATCAGAGGCCTAGAGGCCTGACATCAAAGACCTGGAGTCCTGACATCAGAGGCCTAGAGGCCTGACATCAGAAGCCTAAAGAACTGACATCAGAAGCCTAGAGACCTGACATCAGAAGCCTAGAGACCTGACATCAGAAGCCTAGAGACCTGATATCAGAGGCCTAGAGAACTGACATCAGAAGCCTAGATAATATTGCTTGAGACAGCCAGGCCCCGCTACAGAGTTAAAAATTGGTTATCTTTCTCTCCAATTGTCTGTCTTGTCATCCTTCTGCCTGTTCATTTGTCTTTTTGGTATGTCATTTCCATCTACCGGCGTACAGACTGCCTGTGTGTCTCTGTGTACAGACTGCCTGTCTGTCTCTGTGTACAGCCTGTCTGTCTGTCTCTGTGTACAGACTGCCTGTCTGTCTCTGTGTACATACTGCCTGTCTGTCTCTGTGTGCAGACTGTCTGTCTGTCTCTATATACAGACTGCCTGCCTGTCTGTCTGTCTCTGTGTACAGACTGCCTGCCTGTCTCTGTGTGCAGAATGTCTGCCTGTCTCTGTGTGTTTACCTGTCTGTTTGTCTGTCTGTTGAGTCCGGCACCTGTCTATACGTATGCCAGCCACCAGTCCACCACATGACTAACCTTCTCTGGGAGATGCAAGGGACGACAATGGCAGACATCGGTACAGTTGGAGACTGTTCGAGGACAGAAAGTTGTCTTTGAGAGAATATAGAGCAATGGACAAGAGCTGCCCAATGAAATGGATTGACCCTAATGTTTACAGAAAGTGTGACTATAAATGACAACTCTGATACCTGACATGTGTTTTCTCCTCTCTGAGGTGACTTTGATGACTTAAGCAGCCAGTATATAATAAAAGTTGACTGTTGTTTATGAAAGTTTTCAGCAAAGATATTAACAACTCATAAACATAAACACGTAATAATGAAATATGCATGTCTCCCAGTAATGACTAAACAGATGTGAACCTATCCCCTTTCAGCTGGACTCCTACAGCCTGGGAGTGGTGCTGTGGTCTCTGGTGTTTGAGCAAGGCCCCGAGGAGAACATCCACTACTACTATGAGACGAGGAAAAGGCGAGACATACAGGAACATATCAGGTGTGTATTCTTATGTCTTTGATCATTATTTTTATTTGTCGTGTCATACTGTATTTTTGTAGTCACGTGTGTCTCTAAATTACATTTGTACATTATGAATTTTGAACTGTACCAATTTCTTCTCGTTTTCGTATGCACTACAATCAACTATTTTTCAACCACATCACCTCGTTTGTCTAGTGTGTCCTCCTTTGGTCTAGTTGTTTCTGTTGTCTAGTGAGTCCCCTTTTGTTGTAGTTGTTTCTGTTGTCTAGTGTGTCCTCCTTTGGTCAAGTTGTTTCTGTTGTCTAGTGTGTCCTCCTTTGATCAAGTTGTTTCTGTTGTCTAGTGCGTCCCCTTTTGTTGTAGTTGTTTCTGTTGTCTAGTGCGTCCCCTTTTGTTGTAGTTGTTTGTGTTGTCTAGTGTGTCTTCCTTTGGTCTAGTTGTTTCTGTTGTCTAGTGTGTCCTCCTTTGGTCAAGTTGTTTCTGTTGTCTAGTGTGTCCTCCTTTGGTCAAGTTGTTTCTGTTGTCTAGTGTGTCCTCCTGTGATCAAGTTGTTTCTGTTGTCTAGTGCGTCCCCTTTTGTTGTAGTTGTTTCTGTTGTCTAGTGCGTCCCCTTTTGTTGTAGTTGTTTCTGTTGTCTAGTGCGTCCCCTTTTGTTGTAGTTGTTTGTGTTGTCTAGTGCGTCCCCTTTTGTTGTAGTTGTTTCTGTTGTCTAGTGCGTCCCCTTTTGTTGTAGTTGTTTGTGTTGTCTAGTGTGTCCTCCTTTGGTCAAGTTGTTTCTGTTGTCTAGTGTGTCCTCCTTTGGTCAAGTTGTTTCTGTTGTCTAGTGTGTCCTCCTTTGGTCAAGTTGTTTCTGTTGTCTAGTGCGTCCCCTTTTGTTGTAGTTGTTTGTGTTGTCTAGTGTGTCCTCCTTTGGTCAAGTTGTTTCTGTTGTCTAGTGTGTCCACCTTTGGGGGGTTGTTGTTGTTGTTAACTCCAACAGGACAGCGCAAGGAGCAACCAAGAGCCGGCGACACAAAGCTCCAACATTTGGACGAGAATCGCCCAGGCACAAGTCACAGAAACCCGTTCAACCGTTCGGTTTTATTAGGGTCACAGACGACAGCCTGCATGGGGCTAACCAAAAAAGCTATCACTGACTAGCATTATTAAGAACCCTTAAAAAGTGGGGGGGGGGGGGGGGGGGTTTGAAGTGTTAACAAGAAGAAGCAGAAGATTCTTAATGAAGTCTCATTTTTGTGTGTGTGTACATTAAAACGAAGAGCCATGACTGACTGACTGACTTTCTACCCCACCAGGACATCACACAAACGATAAACATCCGATGACACAATGTGCCACCATGTGGATGAGGATCGCCGTGGAGAGGTCCCAGAGTGAGTGAGTGACTTTCTACCCCACCAGGACATCACACAAGCGATAAACACCCGATGACACAACGTGCCACCATGTGGATGAGGATCACCGTGGAGAGGTCCCAGAAACCGCGTTCAGACATTTGGCCATTTTTATGGCCTGCCTATATTGCGGCCCCTGGCAAAAGCCAGAGTGGGGCTTCAAATAACAAAAAATTACGTCCTGAAAAGGACGTAAAGACTTGATTAACACTAACTATAAGAGGTCCCAGAAACCGCATTTAGACAATTGGCCATATTATGGCCTGCCTATATTGCGTATCTCGTCAGCTGCATTAGTTAGTTAGTTAGTTAGTCTTTCCTCTTGTGTCGAGTGCGGCACATAGGGCAGAGGTCGTGACTCTCCATGCACGGCGGTCCGTTGCAATCCGTTGTAGGTCTTGGATGTTTGAGTGGCCCATGAGCGAGCCTTCCCTGATGATAGTTCTACGTAGGGTTTCCCTTGGTCTTCCACGAGATCTTTTCCCCTGTGGTGTCCAAATGAGGGCTTGGTAAGGAAGTCTTGATTTATCCATTCTAAGGACGTGGCCGACATAGTTCCAGCGGCGTTTTCGTATAAAATTAGACACATACTCTTGCCTGGATTCTTGCCTTATTTGTGTATTGGTTCGGAAATCTGACCATTTGAAATTTAGTATTCTTCTAAGGCATTTATTTTCAAAACTGTCTAATTTTGTGTCTAGAGTTTTCGTTGATTTCCAACTCTCGCATCCATAGGTTAGTACTGGAATCACACAAGAATTGAAGATCTTGAGTTTTGTGTGTTTGCTAAGTGTCTTTGATTTCCAGATGTTAGACAGTTTATTGAAGGCACTAGATGCCAGTGCTATTCTAAATGATATTTCTGGTGCGGTATCTCCTGTAGATGACATCTTGCTCCCTAGATACAGCTGCATTACAGAGAGTTAAATCAACATTTTATGATAGATCACCCCCCCCCCCCCCATTTGTTTCGGCATCATCATCTTCAATGTCCTACAGTGCTAATGTATCTTGTCACATATGGCTCACTGTCTATTTCATTATTCTGCTCTATCTCGTGCAATCACTTCCATATCGTGGAGTCCAGTAGCTCTCTGAGTTGTGTCCCATTATGACATGATTCTATATTTGTGTGTGTCAGTTTCTGCCGACCATCAGTGACACCTGTTGTGTTTCCTCCGACCATAAATGACATCTGTTGTGTTTCTACCAACCATCACTGACATCTGCTGTGTTTCCACCGACCACCTGTGACATCTGTTGTGTTTTTACCGACCATCAATAACATCTGTTGTGTTTCTACCGACCATCAATTAAATCTGTTGTGTTTCTACCGACCATCAATGACATCTGTTGTGTTTCTACCGACCATCACTGACATCTGTTGTGTTTCCACCGACCACCTGTGACATCTGTTGTGTTTCTACCGACCATCAATGACATCTGTTGTGTTTCTACCGACCATCAATGACATCTGTTGTGTTTTTACCGACCATTAATGACATCTGTTGTGTTTCTACCGACCATCAATGACATCTGTTGTGTTTCTACCGACCATCAATGACATCTGTTGTGTTTCTACCGACCATCAGTGACACCTGTTGTGTTTCTACCGACTATTAATGACATCTGTTGTGTTTCTACCGACCATCAGTGACACCTGTTGTGTTTCTACAAACCATCAATGACATCTGTTGTGTTTCTACCGACTATCAATGACATCTGTTGTGTTTCTACAAACCATCAATGACATCTGTTGTGTTTCTACAAACCATCAATGACATCTGTTGTGTTTCTACAAACCATCAATGACACCTGTTGTGTTTCTACAAACCATCAATGACATCTGTTGTGTTTCTACCGACCATTAATGACACCTGTTGTGTTTCTACAAACCATCAATGACATCTGTTGTGTTTCTACCGACTATCACTGACATCTGTTGTGTTTCCACCGACCACCTGTGACACCTGTTGTGTTTCTACCGACTATCAATGACATCTGTTGTGTTTCTACAAACCATCAATGACATCTGTTGTGTTTCTACCGACCATCAATGACATCTGTTGTGTTTCTACCGACCATCAGTGACATCTGTTGTGTTTCTACCGACCATCAATTTTTCTGTTGTGTTTCTACCGACCACCTGTGACATCTGTTGTGTTTCTACCGACCATCAATTTTTCTGTTGTGTTTCTACAAACCATCAATGACATCTGTTGTGTTTCTACCGACCATCAATGACATCTATTGTGTTTCTACCGACCATCAGTGACATCTGTTGTGTTTCTACCGACCATCAATTTTTCTGTTGTGTTTCTACCGACCATCAATGACATCTGTTGTGTTTCTACCGACCATCAGTGACATTTGTTGTGTTTCTACCGACCATCAATGACATCTGTTGTGTTTCTACAAACCATCAATGACATCTGTTGTGTTTCTACCGACCATCAATGACATCTGTTGTGTTTCTACAAACAATCAATGACATCTGTTGTGTTTCTACTGACTATCAGTGACATCTGTTGTGTTTCTATCGATCATCAATGACATCTTATGTGTTTCTATCGACCATCGATGACATCTGACGTGTTTCTACCGGCCATCAGTGACATCTGTTGTGTTTCTGTCATTCTTTCAGGGATATGTTACTGCGACTTCTGAACCGGTGTCCAGGAACAAGAATCACCATTACAGATTTGCTGGCCAGAGTGCGACGTGACAGTAAGTACAGAATCATCATTGACAACAACTAGAGGTCAGAGGTCGAGCAACTTATAGAGACCATCTAGCTCCTAATTAGAGCTTCAAGGAATTCGAGATATGCTTTAGATTATAAAAAAATAGAAATAGATACTTCAGAGCTTGTTTTAGAAATTAAATGTTATGTGGACCCTAGAGATTATATGTTAGGAGCAGTCATCTTGTAAACCCTAGAGATTATATGTTAGTGGCAGTCATCTTGTGGATCCTAGAGATTATATGTTAGTGGCAGCCAACTTGTGGTTCCTAGAGATTATATGTTAGTGGCAGTCAACTTGTGGATCCTAGAGATTATATGTTACTGGATCTTAGAGATTATATGTTAGTGGCAGTCATCTTGTGGATCCTGGAGATTATATGTTAGGGGCAATCATCTCATGGATCCTAGAGATTATATGTTAGTGGATCTTAGAGATTATATGTTAGTGGCAGTCATCTTGTGGATCCTAGAGATTATATGTTATGTGGATGCTAGAGATTATATGTTAGGGGCAGTCACCTTGTGGATCCTTGAGATTATATGTTAGGGGAGTTGATCTTGTGGATCCTAGAGATTATATGTTAGGGGCAGTCACCTTGTGGATCCTAGAGATTATATTTTATGTGGATCCTAGAGATTTTTTGTTAGGGGAGGTAATCTTGTGGATCCTAGAGATTATATGTTAGTGGCAGTCATCTTGTGGATCCTAGAGATTATATGTTAGTGGCAGTCATCTTGTGGATCCTAGAGATTATATGTTAGTGGCAGTCATCTCATGGATCCTAGAGATTATATGTTAGTGGCAGTCATCTTGTGGATCCTAGAGATTATATGTTATGTGGATCCTAGAGATTATATGTTAGGGGAGGTCATCTTGTGGATCCTAGAGATTATATGTTAGTGGCAGTCATCTTGTGGATCCTAGAGATTATATGTTAGTGGATCCTAGAGATTATATGTTAGTGGCAGTCATCTTGTGGATCCTAGAGATTATATGTTATGTGGATCCTAGAGATTATATGTTAGGGGAGGTCATCTTGTGGATCCTAGAGATTATATGTTAGTGGCAGTCATCTCATGGATCCTAGAGATTATATGTTAGTGGCAGTCATCTTGTGGATCCTAGAGATTATATGTTAGGGGCAGTCACCTTGTGGATCCTTGAGATTATATGTTAGGGGAGGTCATCTTGTGGATCCTAGAGATTATATGTTAGGGGCAGTCAACTTGTGGATCCTAGAGATTATATGTTACTGGATCTTAGAGATTATATGTTAGTGGCAGTCATCTTGTGGATCCTAGAGATTATATGTTAGGGGAGGTCATCTTGTGGATCCTAGAGATTATATGTTAGTGGCAGTCATCTCATGGATCCTAGAGATTATATGTTAGGGGAAGTCATCTTGTGGATCCTAGAGATTATATGTTATGTGGATCCTAGAGATTATATGTTAGGGGCAGTCACCTTGTGGATCCTTGAGATTATATGTTAGGGGCAGTCACCTTGTGGGTCCTAGAGATTATATATTAGTGGGAGTTATCTTGTGAATCCTATAGATAATATGTTATGTGGATACTAAAGATTGTATGTTACGGACAGGTGTCCTGTGGATCCTTGAGATAACTGGGGGTGCAGTCCTGGAGTACATGCTCTGCTGTCTGGGGCACTTTTCCACAGGTGCACATGGCTGATACGCCTATCTTGATTGCCAGTGTTTCATTTTCTGTTTCCTCTGTATATTTTTCGTCTCCTTCATGTGGAACAAGTTTCACAGGTCTACATTGATGCCTGAAGCATAGCAGGCTCATACACTGTTTGTCTTTGTAGGTCAGATAACCACATTTCCACCCTACAGATAATTACGGGATGTCTGGTAGTAGGTGCTCTGCGTGTTCTCTAGCGGTCAACATCTGCTAGGAAAAAAAAAACAGATTCAGTGTGGGGAGGCTTCAGGTCGCCAGTGTCTTGTTTTGTCTGTGGTCTTTACTGAAAGCTCCAACTACGTTTGCTGACTCCCAAGTTTCAGCTCCACCCAACAAAGACTGTCATTTCAACAGTCTCAACCCAACAAAGACTGTCATTTCCACAGTCTCAACCCAACAAAGACTGTCATTTCAACAGTCTCAACCCAACAAGACTGTCATTTCAACAGTCTCAACTCAACAAAGACTGTAATTTCAGCAGTCTCAACCCAACAAAGACTGTCATTTCAACAGTCTCAACCCAACAAAGACTGTCATTTTAACAGTCTCAACCCAACAAGGACTGTCATTTCAACAGTCTCAACCCAACAAAGACTGTCATTTCAACAGTTTCAACCCAACAAAGACTGTCATTTCCACAGTCTCAACCCAACAAAGACTGTCATTTCCACAGTCTCAACCCAACAAAGACTGTCATTTCAACAGTCTCAACCCAACAAAGACTGTCATTTCAACAGCCTACACCCATCCCTTGACCAACTATATTCTCTGTGTGGATCTCCTTCTTATCACTGGCAGAAAGTTTGGTCACAGTTTGTTGTTCAGCCTCATGTTGTTAAGTTGAGGAGCTTCAGAAATGCTTTTCTCGAATAGAAATTTTACTAGACTGCAAATGAAAATACAATTATTAAAATGAACACATCAAAGAAAGATTATAAATCAGTCTTTTTAGAAACATAGGGTTTACTGCCTATCTGGGATCAATTGACCCAAAATGTGGCTCAGGGGTCACTACTGGGTCAAGAGACCCCACCCCCCCCCCCCCCCCAAAAAAGGCAGTAGTGTTCACTTTATTGCTAACTCCAAGAGCAAAAAACCATTTCCCTCACCCTTCTACAGTGTCCTCAGCTGTTAGTCTGTCCTGCCAATAAACCTGGTCAGTGTATCTTCTACAGTGTCCTCAGCTGTTAGTCTGTCCTGCCAATAAACCTGGTCAATGTATCTTCTACTGTGTCCTCAGCTGTTAGTCTGTCCTGCCAATAAACCTGGTCAGTGTATCTTCCACAGTGTCCTCAGCTGTTAGTCTGTCCTGCCAATAAACCTGGTCAATGTATCTTCCACAGTGTCCTCAGCTGTTAGTCTGTCCTGCCAATAAACCTGGTCAATGTATCTTCCACAGTGTCCTCAGCTGTTAGTCTGTCCTGCCAATAAACCTGGTCAATGTATCTTCTACAGTGTCCTCAGCTGTTAGTCTGTCCTGCCAATAAACCTGGTCAATGTATCTTCCACAGACTTGTAGTCTGTTTGTTGTTGTATCATTCATGATCTTGTGGTAATGTGGTTGTTGCATCATTCATGATCTTGTGGTAATGTGTTTTTTGTTGTTGTATCATTCATGATCTTGTGGTCATGTGGTTGTTGTTGTATCATTCATGATCTTGTGGTAATGTGGTTGTTGTTGTTGTATCATTCATGATCTTGTGGTAATGTGGTTGTTGTTGTTGTATCATTCATGATCTTGTGGTAATGTGGTTGTTGTTGTATCATTCATGATCTTGTGGTCATGTGGTTGTTGTTGTATCATTCATGATCTTGTGGTAATGTGGTTGTTGTATCATTCATGATCTTGTGGTAATGTGGTTGTTGTTGTATCATTCATGATCTTGTGGTAATGTGGTTGTTGTATCATTCATGATCTTGTGGTAATGTGGTTGTTGTATCATTCATGATCTTGTGGTAATGTGGTTGTTGTATCATTCATGATCTTGTGGTAATGTGGTTGTTGTTGTATCATTCATGATCTTGTGGTAATGTGGTTGTTGTTGTATCATTCATGATCTTGTGGTAATGTGGTTGTTGTTGTATCATTCATGATCTTGTGGTCATGTGGTTGTTGTTGTTGTATCATTCATGATCTTGTGGTAATGTGGTTGTTGTTGTATCATTCATGATCTTGTGGTAATGTGGTTGTTGTTGTATCATTCATGATCTTGTGGTAATGTGGTTGTTGTTGTATCATTCATGATCTTGTGGTAATGTGGTTGTTGTTGTTGTATCATTCATGATCTTGTGGTAATGTGGTTGTTGTATCATTCATGATCTTGTGGTAATGTGGTTGTTGTTGTATCATTCATGATCTTGTGGTAATGTGGTTGTTGTATCATTTCTTGTGGTATCATTCATGATCTTGTGGTAATGTGGTTGTTGTTGTATCATTCATGATCTTGTGGTAATGTGGTTGTTGTTGTATCATTCATGATCTTGTGGTAATGTGGTTGTTGTATCATTCATGATCTTGTGGTAATGTGGTTGTTGTTGTATCATTCATGATCTTGTGGTAATGTGGTTGTTGTTGTATCATTCATGATCTTGTGGTAATGTGGTTGTTGTTGTATCATTCATGATCTTATGGTAATGTGGTTGTTGTTGTATCATTCATGATCTTGTGGTAATGTGGTTGTTGTTGTATCATTCATGATCTTGTGGTAATGTGAGCAGTTAATGTTGACTTGTTGATGCTGAAAATAAACCTACCATTATCTGTAATTTGTCTGATGTTAATTATTTACACTTGCATGATTTTGACTAGTATGTTTGCCTGTAGTTTGTTTGTGTCTCACTGTTTCCTGGTGTCTCGCTGTTTCCTTGTGTCACTTAATGAAAACATTTACTGTTGTCTTTATGTCCTCATTTAGAAATGCTTGCCATGAAACATCTGTAGTTGTTCCTGTTCTAGACAGGTTTTCTAGCAAGTATCAGATCTTGTTGTTCCTGTTCTAGACAGGTTTTCTAGCAAGTATCAGATCTTGTTGTTCTAGCAAGTTTCTAGCATATTGTCTTGTTGTTCTGTTCCTGTTCTAGACAGGTTTTCTAGCAAGTATCAGATCTTGTTGTTCCTGTTCTAGACAGGTTTTCTAGCAAGTATCAGATCTTGTTGTTCCTGTTCTAGACAGGCTTTCTAGCAAGTATCAGATCTTGTTGTTCCTGTTCTAGACAGGTTTTCTAGCAAGTATCAGATCTTGTTGTTCCTGTTCTAGACAGGCTTTCTAGCAAGTATCAAATCTTGTTGTTCCTGTTCTAGACAGGCTT